TGGATGAGTGTCAACAGACATACATCAGCCTGAACACCCGATTATATGAATACAGTAAAGTTTGATACAGTCAGTACATAACCAAAAGAAGCTGATGATGAGATAGTAATTGATGATACTGAAATAAATGAAACCAACCCGCCAGCCATCTAGGTTGAATGATTTTCGGTGCAGTGACAGGAGACAAAACACAATTAAACCAAGTATTACATGTGAAATTATCACCACCAGTTGACATGGCTGATTTCTGGACGACAGAATCAATGGGAGTTGCTGTTAAGTCATGCAGGTGTAAAGCCGACACAATTGACCCAGCAGAAGCAGAAGAAGCGAAAAATATTTGAAGACTCATGCATTAAAGTTGGAGATCAGTGGATGATACCATGTCCCTGGAGATCAGTGGATGATACCATGTCCCTGGAAAAAAGACCCAATTTGGTGCCTAACAACAGACTGAAAGAAAATTAGAAGCCATTGAAGGAAGACTTCAAAAAGATGTTGAGCTCGCAAAAGCATATGATGTCCAGATGAAGGCCATGAACGACATGAATTTCGCAAGAAAAATTAGCAGAGAGGAACTAGAAAATCACAGAGGCCCAGTGTATTACATAGCCCATTACCCAGTGGTGCGTCCGCAGAAGAAGAGTACACCAGTCAGAATAGTCTTCAACTCGTCAGCAACATTTAACGGACGCTGTCTCAACGACTATTGGTACAAAGGACTAGACTTACTCAACAACCTATTTGGAGTGCTCTTGCTGTTCCGGGAAAATATCGTTGCGATATGCAGTGACATATCAAAAATGTATAACCGAATCATATTGTGAAGATCGGCATGTGCATCGTTTTTTGTGGCGGAACATGAAGACAGATTTGCAGTCCGACGTTAATGTATCAACAGTTGTCACATTTGGTGACAAGCCAGCCCCAGCGAAGGCGCAGATCGCTGAGAAAAAAAGTGGAAACGGTAAAGAAATATTTCCACAGGCATCAGAAATTCTCAAAGTAAACACTTACATGGATGATATTTGTGATTCTGTCAGCACACTTGATAGGGCGAGAGAACTAATGAAGGAAATGGATAGCATACTTGCAAAGGGTGGATTCACTTAGGGTTAAGACGTGGAATTCAAACAAAGAGATTACACCGGATCAAGGCAGAGATGAACTAAAACTATTGGAGATGACCGAGGAAAAGGTTTTGGGAATTGTCTGGGATCAAAAGGAGGATGTTTTCAAGTTCAAAGTGAACATTGACCTACAAAATTACACATCATGCAAAGATAGCACAAAGTTGAAATTGACGAAACGGAGAGTGCTAAGTCAAGCAGCGAGAATATTTGACCCAATTGGATTTGCTGCACCCATCTTGATTCGAGCCAAAATTGGAATTCAACGACTGTGGGAACAAGGATTGAACTGGGATCAAGACCTGCCTTGGTCTGAGCATAAAACATGGCTCGAACTGTTCAAAGATATGGAAAATTTAAATGATGTAAAAGTAAATCGATGTCTAACACCACCTAACGCTAAAGGACTGGCAACACTTTGCATGTTTTCAGATGCATCAGAATATGCATTCGGGGAATGTGTGTATGCTAGATGGAAAACTAATGAAGGGCTATTACGATGTAAGGTTTTTAGCTCCACTTAAGCGTTTATCAGTAACCAGATTAGAGCTACAAGCCGCAGTGTTGGTCGCCAGGTTATCAGAAACCATTCAGAATGAAATAAGACTTCAAATAAACCGAACCATATTCATGTCAGACAGTACAATCACACTAGGTTGGATAAGAAGTAATGCAAGATCATTCAAACCTTTTGTATCAGCGAGGGTAAGTGAAATCCAAAGTAGATCAAACCAGTCACAATGGATGCACATAGGATGTTTTGTTCAGGATTTGTTATAGATGGCCCTCTGTAATTTGTATGGATGACTTTGTGTCATTCCAGTAGTTGTTACCATGCGACGCATAAAGATGGAGGAATAGTTGCTGTTTGAGTTAAATACATCGTTTATTCTGTAAATTGTAGTTCCTGCCAAGAAGTAAGTATAATAATTATATTTGTTTTTGTATAATTCCTGAGTCATTAAGACTCGATAAATAATAAGAGTGTTAATCATCTTTTTGAGATTGATTATGCCTATCACTGATGACTATTGAATACTGAATACGAAATCCCTGTATAGTATATTTTGATAGGCCTAGGCTAATTGATGGAGTTTCTGTATTTGTTTACAAATCGAATAAAACCAAGAACTGAATTAAAGTTCATTATACGATATGCAGGAATTCTGGAAGTGTATGTGAGTTTGTTTGTGTCTATACCTCTCGAAGATGCAGTCTCATTGGTACAAATATTGCTTTATGGCAGTTTTTGTGTAATTTTCAACGGTTACAATACTTACTGCTGGCAATAATTTTCAGCTTTATTGCAACTATGTGCTAGACTGACTTAATTGGTGTTTTGATTCATTTCTTTCGCTTTTGGTTTACTCTCAATGAAGAAAAGCGTTAAGCTTATTTTCCACTAAAAATACTGCTAGAATTGGTAATGCATGAACCAACATTTTCGATTCGCGCTAATAAATTCGTCTAGTTGAATACAGGCTTTGAAGATAGGCATACGTGGTATAATTGGTCTTGCTCGGCTATTGGTTTTCGTTAATAAGTGATTCGTTTGGGATATACATACATACATACACCCATACACCCATACACACATACATACATACATACATACATACATATAAATCAAGAAAGCGCGTCAAAATACGCGCTGTTGTTGTTAAGGACTTTTTGTGTGGTAAAGAATACAAAATTTCTTGACAACCAGTACGCGCTCCTTTTGACGCGCTACTGTGATTTCACGAACTAACACAATCTACATTCACCTGAAGAAGTGCACTGTGTGCACGAAAGCTTGTGTACTGTCATAAATAAATAGTCATAAAAGTACTGAATATCCTGAGTTTTATTTTCTACAATCTACTTTGATTGTGTTAGTTCGTGATGTGAGCGACGATATATATACTGTCTCTTATACACATCTAGATGTGTATAAGAGACAGGTATCATCCCCCCAATATTTTGACTATGTATGGGATAAAATGGAGATTTAAACACTTCAAAGACTGTCACAGAAATAATTTGCAC